GATTTGATATTTGTTGATCTATCAAGAAATTTCGAAAACTTTGAAAACAACTGTTAAAGGAAAACAGTTTTGATGGCGTCGGACAGATGAGCAACAACAAACTAAAATATATATCTATATATATGTGATAAGACGCGCGGCGGAGGGTGTGCGGCATAAATCCACGCATTTCTTGTACAAATGGCGGATTTTGTCATCTAATTTTGATGGAGTTGCGCACCGGCGGCGTCGAAACCCGACGCTGCCCTTAAATTATCAGTAGCTAGGCCGCGCTAGTGTCGTTAGGTGCTCACAATGAACAAATTCTAAATCGACGCCGTCGGTCTTTGTAAGTTACCATCTTCAAAATACATAAAAAAATTTGTAGAATTTTCTCACTTTGACATTACCTAGTTTTTTTTTTAATTTTTGTTATTTATTTTTGTTGTTTTTTTTTTGTATACGTTGGCTTATTAGAATTTGCGCACATTGGGTTAAGGGGTTAAGGATGCTAGACAGTTTGTAAATAACACACTCGAAGAGCGAAAGGGAACGAGCGTTTACTTTTGAAGTCGAATAGAGAAAGAGATAGGTTGAGTGAAAGTGTACAGATGATCAAAACATTGCTACTCTTATTTTAGTTGTTTTCTTTCAGGTTAATTAATGAAACATTTTTATTATAATTTTTTTTTTTAAAACTTTAATAATAAAATAAAACAACAAAATATATACTCAATACAATACCAAAAAGTTTTATGATCAATTTTTGCAGAAAAAAAATTATGATTTATATAAAAAAATGAAAATTGTCTATTTTTCAATAAATTGAAGTTGTGTGATGTCCATTTTGCATAAATATATAAAAATTAGTTAGATTATAAAATTTACTGTATTATATTTAATTTTATTTCCAAGATTTGATATTTGTTGATCTATCAAGAAATTTCGAAAACTTTGAAAACAACTGTTAAAGGAAAACAGTTTTGATGGCGTCGGACAGATGAGCAACAACAAACTAAAATATATATCTATATATATGTGATAAGACGCGCGGCGGAGGGTGTGCGGCATAAATCCACGCATTTCTTGTACAAATGGCGGATTTTGTCATCTAATTTTGATGGAGTTGCGCACCGGCGGCGTCGAAACCCGACGCTGCCCTTAAATTATCAGTAGCTAGGCCGCGCTAGTGTCGTTAGGTGCTCACAATGAACAAATTCTAAATCGACGCCGTCGGTCTTTGTAAGTTACCATCTTCAAAATACATAAAAAAATTTGTAGAATTTTCTCAATTTGACATTACCTAGTTTTTTTTTTATTTTTGTTATTTATTTTTGTTGTTTTTTTTTTGTATACGTTGGCTTATTAGAATTTGCGCACATTGGGTTAAGGGGTTAAGGATGCTAGACAGTTTGTAAATAACACACTCGAAGAGCGAAAGGGAACGAGCGTTTACTTTTGAAGTCGAATAGAGAAAGAGATAGGTTGAGTGAAAGTGTACAGATGATCAAAACATTGCTACTCTTATTTTAGTTGTTTTCTTTCAGGTTAACAATAGTTGTTTGATGTATTAGCTTCGGTTATGATTGAATTTTTTTAAGGGTATAAATTACTTCTTTTTGGATCAAATCTTCAATATAATAATACAATAATTTTCTTTTTAATTTTTGTTTTATGCTAGTGAATATATATAAACATCATATTTTTTTTTTTGAGATATGTCTGCCAAGGCGTGTCGTGTGGGGTGTATATGTCTTATATATTTTAGGGTGCGCGTTTTGACCAGTGGTCGCCGACTCGCTGGCCGCGTGGGTGGAACTATTGATCCACAATACGCTCCACTCTCACCCTCACATACTTCTCATTTGCGCTGTCCGTTATGTTTCCATTCGTCATTATGTTATTCTGATAGCTGTGTTGCCTTTATCTGATGATCAATAATTTCCCCAGTTCTTGGAATCCACAATTCCCGTCCATGTGTGAGTGCGTGCGTATATATATATACACACATACACGCGTGTGCATGTGTCTGTGGATATGTGCGTATGCGTGCGTTACAGAATTTTCATACTTTCTTCACTCTTTCATTTATGTTTAAAATGAAAAACCCACTACTCCCATTTTCATTTATTTTTTTTTTCTACTTTCGTAGTGGAACCTCGGTGATAGCGTGCTCCAACCAACCCCTCTGACCGAGTTACGCATATTACATACACACACATACACGTACTTTACATAATCTAATCCTGAAAAAAAATTATATACACATACCACACACACACTCGTCTGCGCTCTTCTCGGTTTTTATCAAGTTTATTATTATTCATCTATATACATATATAGACACACACACATATATATTTTAAAGCAAATACAGGTGTTTTCATTATAAACACATTTATATTTCAACCTTTACATATACATAATATACAAATAACTCTTTCTCTCTCTCAATTTCCCTCTATCATTTTTTTTTTTATCTATACGCATTTAATATCACATAATCAATATTCTCATTGGGGCCACATTTTTAATTTCGCTCTCATTATCTTATTTACAATATTTCTGTGTCAATTTAAATATTGATACGGCTTGGAATATTAAAGCAAAAAAAAAAGTCTCCACGCACAGTTTTAATAATGCATTCTTCATTAAATATTTGATTGTTATTTGAAAAAAAAAATAATAATAATTGCTTTAGTGGACAAATATTTTTTTTTTTCCAAAATTATTTGATTTTGTTACATTCGATGCTTGTCACGTTTTTCTGTGAATCGGCTGGATTCACGAGCCGCTTTAGTAGGAGGATGAAGAGGGGGTAGTTTTTATTATATGTGGGGTGGAGACTAATAGTTTACCTCAATACGCTGTATTTTCGGGGATGTATGTGCATACACACATACGCAGGCGGACATCGTGCAGCGTGGAACAAGGGAGCACATGCGGTGGTTCCGTGTATACATATATACGTATGTGTATGCGTGTGTGAGTGAGTGTCCTGTATGCCTGTCAGTTCTTATTGGAAGAAGTGTCATTGATTGAAAGTCGCGCGTGTTAGAGGAGTACATAGGAGTTGTTGTTTTTTTTTTGTTGTTCTGTGATGTTCGAACTGTGTGTTGACTAATTAAGAAAACCACCCCCACAACCCGCTGAAGCACGGTTAGTAGACGTAGCAGCGTAATTATTTTCTATATCGACGGCGGGATCGAATTATGAAGGGTCGAGGGGATGATGATGATTCATACGCGCCCAGTAAATATTTAATGAAGGCTCTCCGTTAATTTGATCCCCGATGGTCAGAGAGGATATTGACATTTTTCTTTGGGACCTCTTATGATCACGCCACGGTTGCGCCACCAACTTTCGCGGTAGCGAAGTTTAGAATTGAAGCTTCTTTTATTTGTTTTTTGTTTGCAAAACTTAACCTTAAAACTGAACAATACAAATTGATCAAGTGCAATTCAGATTTTGGTAGTACAATTCAGATTTTGCAAGTGCAATTCAGTGTTTTATAATATAATAGAAGTATACTTTTCAAAATTTTATAAATTCTATTTGCTGAAAATATGAAATTACTAATCTTCAAGATAAACAGAAATGTAAGTGAATTGGATTCCAAAATGAGAAATTTTAATTATAATTCAGAAACATAACTTTTTTTTAATCAGTTTTCTGTTTAATTTGTTTCATTTTTAGGTTATTGTTGCTCAAAAAAATAAAATTAGTTTTACAACTTTCAAACTTTTTCATTCTAATTCAGAATTGGGAAAATATGAATTATAATTGAGAAGCACAACTTTTTAAATCAGATTTCTCTTTTATACATTTTTATTTTATTTTTTGTTTGTTTGTTTGTTTTCAAACTAATCAATTTCAGACTTGCTTGAGAAATATATACATTTTAGTATTTTGTTATTGGCTATAATTTGAGCTAAAAGGATTTCTTGAATTAATTAAAATTATTTTATTATATACTTTAAATGAAAAACATCAATAAATTGTGGTACCAAATTGTTTTGTTATTTGTTTTGAGTTGAAATAACGGCAATTTTATTTTTCTTTTGTTTACCGGGTATTATATTATATTGTAAATATGAATTTAATTCCCAAAACGCGTTTTTCACAATTGTACTATTTTTGTGTTTTTTCTGTTGCAAATGTTGGGCAGGGACCTTTTGGTAGTGTTGCATGTCGCCTACAAAACGAGATGATGACATCGGTCACGTTGCCCTCCAATTCCGGCCCAATGCACGGTGCTTTCACGCCGACCGTACCAGAAGACCCGCCGATGAGTGGACACGACTTCGAGGTCCCGAGACCTGCTAAACGTTGCCTGGCTACAACCCTATCAGACAATTGTAAGAAGCGAAGGAAACAATCCACACCAGTAAGGATCTCGGCATCCGACTCGTCTCCAGAAGGTAAGCCTGTGCCGTCCCCAGAACCGGAGTCGCGCTGTCCTATTTGCCAAGTGGTGTTTGCGACCCAAGATCTCTTGCAAAGCCACATGTCTTCGGAGCACTCAAACTTCGAATGTAAAAGAGAACCATGCGATTCGCCGAATCTCGACTCCCTCGACAACCAGGATACGTCAGCAACACCAGAACAACTGATCACCAAGCCGGACATCCCCTGGATCTCAGAGATCCCCGGCAAGGAATGGATGAGTCCCAACCTTCTACCGTTTCCAACCACGAATCATATGTTCATGGGTCTACCACAGTTCACGCAGCCGGACGCGTTGCCTCCCCGGCAACCAATTCGAATATTTAACCCGGACGCCTACTGTGAATTGTGTAACAAGGAGTTTTGCAACAAGTACTTTTTGAAAACACACAAAGCCAACAAGCACGGCATCTACACCGATCCGCCGGCAGAGACGGCCGGTTTGGGCTCCTCCGTCAGCATTCCTTCATACGTGACCAACATGAAAATACCGAATTCCGTGCCAAGCGTCGACATTTCTTCTGTCAAGATCGAGCCAAAACCCCAGCTGCTGCAATCCTATCCCGACCTCTTTCCAAATCCGTTTACCAACAAGCTATTCCCGAAGATTGGAAAGTCCGTGTTCGAAATGGAAAACCCGGAAAACGGATCGACGAACGACGCCGTTTCAGCGAACGACCAAGAAGAATCTCCGAGCCCCAGGGCTCCCCAATCGGAACCACCTACCTCAATGAAACAGGAAATCTCGGACCAAGAGGGTATGTTCTATGCATCCCCCAGTAAAACTTCGCCCGGACAGCAGTCCCGTGAGCTGGATCTTTCGAACCGACTGCGCCGCATCGGCGTGATGAATCCAAAAGCATTTTGCGAGATCTGCTGCAAGGAGTACTGTAACAAATATTTTTTGCGAACCCACAAAATGAAACGCCACGGGATTTACATTCCCGACGACAGAGACAAAGATATGAAGATAGACTCCATGGGAGTGCATTACGTGCAAACGAGTCCGTTGAACTTGATCATGGCAGAACAGCAAGCCACCAACAGCTCTATAGACCGTAAAACGTCATCCCCTTCAGACATTAGTTGTGAGATATGCGGAATCAAATTCCAAAATATGAGCCTATTCCAATTGCATAACGTGAGCGTCCATTCGAAATTGCCAACCACCAGCCAAGAAGCCACGAACGACGATAAGAAACAGTCAGACCATTTCGACAAAGCTGGAAACTCGGCAGACAGCATCAGCGAAGACCTGCAAAAGCTGCAAACGATGATCCTCCAATTAAACGATTTAGATGTGAGCAAAGCAAACAGCACATGTACTACATGCAATAAAGAGTTTGAAAATCGTTATTATTTGCATGCTCACATGATGACCGAACATGGATTATTACTGGAAGATAATGGAGATACTGAGAAATCGGGAGAAGCCGGAGATGCCGCAAATATCAACAACAATACTATGTGTGATTTGTGCGGAAAGGATTTCCAGAACTACGATGACATGAAGAAGCACATTATAGAATCGCATGGCGCTCCTGTTCAACCGAGCGAGACTAAAGAGCAAGACTTTAACAATGGCCCGACAACATCTGAGAAGGGTCCAATCCGTACACCTGTAACGAGCACCCCAGTGATCGAACGTCGCGCGACAATGAACCTGACACCAACAAGTAGCTATTGTGAGATTTGCAACAAAGAACTTTGCAATAAATACTTTATGAAGACGCATATGCAACGCATGCACGGAATCGAGATCGAGAACGGTGCTCAGATCGGCGGAGTTATTTGTGACATATGTAATAAAGAGTTGTGCAGCAAATACTTCCTTCGTGTTCACAAACATAATACCCATGGCATTGTAGAATACGGATCAGGCCTTATGCAGCCTAGAAAAGGCGAAGAAGCGGCTCCTCCGATGCCAGTCGAACCAGACAACGCCTTAAAGCCTACCGATTTGGCGGATCTTAGTCACAGATATTTTACGCATTTTACAGAAGTCTGCACGATTTGCAGCCGCAGGTTTAGAAGTACCAAGTGGCTGAAGGCCCACCTGCTGAGCGACCACGGTCAGGCCGGTGCCGAGAAATGGGCCGAAATGGAGCAGCAACTTCAACACACTATGAACCAACCAAACAAATCCTCTACGTCTACAATGAAGATGCCTCAGGGAGAGAGAATAAGTCCAACATTGAAGATACCCACTAGCGTAGAATCAAGTAATCAACAGCAGAAGATGGGTTTGCAGAACGTGCTATCGAGTATTTTGGGTGCAGACACCGAGTCCACATCGAAGACCTACCATTGTTCTTATTGTCCATTCACCACTCCGGTCCTGCCGTTCCTGTTCGTCCACGAAAGATCCCATTCACTCCAAAGTGTAGACGGAGAACTAAAGTGCCCAGTTTGTTCCCAAACTTTCCCACAACCAGAACTTCTTCAACATCATATATTTACGCAACACCCGTTCCTTCCACTGCCACCATTCTTCAACGGTAACACGGAATCGCAGGGAGAAATTTCCAAGGAGCCTTCGGAGAGTGCAGAAGAAAACGAAGACGGTGGATCGCTTTCAGACATGAGCAAGCAACAACCTCAACAACAACATCAGCAACAACAGCATATGAAGATCAAAAGTAAAGTGGGTGGTGTGAAGCGTAAGCAGTTTATTCGTCCTGACGGAATGCCAGCAGATATGGATCAGGTGCTGAAGGAATCGGCTAAGAAGTTGCAGCTGCCAGCCACTTACGCTATACCTCAGCCGAACGGAGATGATGCCAACTATGTTATGCAAGCATTTCTGGTAGAGGAAAATACCGCCACTGAACACACCAACAACATCCGCAAGTTCGTTCCATCGGTAGTGTTCTTGCCGGTGTCGCAGAAGATGTCCTCTCCGGTGACGGCGACATTCACTCTCACCCCGGCCTAATCCGTTACGATACATAGTTTGCATAATAGATGTTAAAATATTTTTTTAAGAACATTACGGCGATAGCTACACCTGTGATTTTTATTATTATTTTACTTAAATTAATATAAAATCTATTATATAAGCGAATTCCTATATTTGCAAAAATGACCTCGTATATTATGGGGAACATATGAGCACACATATTTTTTATGCAAATACCGGAAAGACTGAGTGAAATTTTATATAGTCTGTTAATTTTCACATTATAAAAAAATTGAAGGGAAAATGATGATTATGATGATGATTAGGAGGATGCGAGGAGTATGAAGTGGTGGAGGATGATAATCAGGAGACGAAGAATAAAAGAAAAACGCAAAAAAAAATATAAAAATACAAATATCGAGATATACTATGATGTTTTGTACGATAGAAAGCTTTAGGTGATGTTTATGAAGTTCCTATTTTATCTCTCGATATATTAACTATTCGTTCACAAAAAAATATATGTATTGAGTTGTTAGATGTAGCTTGCTCAAAAGTCAGTTAACGTTCCGCATGCCCAGTCCACGCAACTCAGGGTTAACTGAAACGAGTACAATCAGATCTCGGCGACGTCGCAACGCCACGTTTGGCCCTCGTCGGCGTCGCTTTCCTGTCTCGAGTTCCTGAATAGAGTATAGGATTATTATATCAACGGTACCTCAGTAATGTCGGCAAACCGACGGCCCGGCTACAGAAGCACAACCAGGATATGGATGCATCGGCAATTGGATATCAGGACGACGAAGGATTATATTGGTTGGCTATGCAAAAAAAAAAGGATAAACGGATGAAAGCAAGGAAAGAAGGAATACGCAGCACATTGAAGGGGTTGACAATTTACGGGTAATCTTCAATCGGAGCGGAAGGGGGTTGTTTGTTGCCTTAGCCTGGCCGTATATTTGTCGCCGAATCTGCCTTGGGAATTATCATCTCTCGGCAACATTTATATTTATAACATATACATATAAACATATATAAAAAAAAATATATATTATATTTGAATATACATCTAACAGTCCTTCGGTCCGGCTCGACCGTTGGCTCAGGCCGTCTTCCACTCGCCGGAGTTCTGGATTTCCGCCGGAAGCGGCTGTTGACAAACAAAATCGGTATGTAAACAAAAAAAAAATGTTTTCTTGTTGTATAGTACAAAGTGACTACCTTTGCTAATTACTAGTTATAATACTATAAGCTGTGTGCCTTCAGTAATTGCAAATGACCTGCTATTTCATAATGTAACAGCCTGGGTGCTACGAAATATTATAAAATATGATATATCTATGTTGTATGGTACAAAAAAAAACGAAGAGAATTTTATTAGAAACTGTTAAAAGCCGCGCGTTGCGTTCGCATGCAAATTTCTGCGACCCCCATGCATAATATTTATTTATTTTTTTTTTCGTTCGGTTATATTCATTCCTCTGTCTCTCCCACAATAGAATTCATTACGCTGACGTAAGCTCTGCATTTTTACGGCATGCAAATCGTTCCCGTCGATTTCTTTACAATTCTCCATATTTTGCCCCATTGTGCGACCCCCTTTTTTTTCCCAAATTTTGTAAACAGCTGGCCTGGCGCGTGCACCTCCCCCATTCAAAAACTACCCCAAAACGTACAATATTTTTTTTTCACCCAATCCACCTTTCTCTCTCTCTTAAATATATGCATCTGTTCAATTCTTCATACAATTGCATATTTAATAAGCCAACAAATCTCAGGTTTAACGTAAATCTTCCATTACATTTAAAAAGCTGAATGTTGTATATATAGCGCGTACGCTCCTGCAGGGTATCGAATTACGAGTATGCAAATTAGATCCTTTATATATATTTTTGTGTGTCCTTGTTTCCATCCCCCTACCCCTTGGTCAATCCTCGTTTTTCGCAAAGTACCACCCCAGCTAATAAAAATGCATAAAAATTACGGAATCGGGCGTAAAATCAATTGCATCCATTGTGGGGGACAGAAATTTGAATACGAACGACGCGCGAGGCCCGTCGAGCACAATTGAGCTATACTTGTGTAACAATACGTGAATAATTTATGTGCGAGCGATAATATTCCAATAGAATAAAAGGAAAAATATGATGAAATAGAAGAAAAAAAGATGATGATGAAAACGGGAATAACTTGATGAGAACGGATGCAGGCGAACCAGGATGATAGTATTACGCAATGCGACCCCGTCGCGGTGCCGGACCGTCCCTCCGGGTCCACAAGAATGTTAATATTATTGTATTTTGTTGCGCATATTTGGGCGGGACAGGGCTGGCTACATTGTGAAGGCGAGGGTCCAGATATTTAATTGAAATTAAAAAAAAAAAACAAACAAAACTAGATTGATGAAAAGATGAAAATGTTGTGGGAAAAAATTAATATATATATGTATAAACAATCGACGATGATAACAAAGAACAAGAAGATTGATGATACAAAGTAAAATTATAATAAAACTATAAATTATTATATGCAAAGCAAAAAAATAAACAGGAACACTCTAAGAATTATATATATATATTGTATTTAGATAGTGAGTGTTCGTTTTAGGATAAATGAGCGAAAAATCAAAAAAACTTTGTGTGGGGTATCTCACCACGTCCGCCCTGTTAATTATAAGTTGTTCGTAGTCTATGATGTTCCAGGACTGGTGTGGTACCAAACACAAGACACGGTTAAGTTAACTGTTACGGGTTCTCTCCTATATATTATAATTATATTTTTTTTTCTGAATCAATCGAGATGGCATCTTGCGTGTGCATTGCGTGGACAGACGCCGCCCGATGCAGACGAAAGATCGATCATATTTATTCGACAAAAATGACGTTATATTTGTATTTATTTACATACTCGGTGCTCCGAAATGTCAGAGGTTTATTATATATATATACATACAAGCATGCATATACTTGGGACTCGATTGCATATTTTGTTCATTTCCTTTATTTTCCTGCAGCAGTTGCGTTTAATCTCTAAATGAACGAAAGAGAATATTATATTTTGCAAAAGAAAAACATTGTACAAAATATTAAGATTTCTATTTATCATATATTATATATATATATACATACATATTTAGTAGTTTATTTGAATAATTGAGTGTATTTTTTTTTATTGGGCTTTACGGCTACTAGTGTGTCAGGTTTATGTTCGTTTATAGTTTTGTTCCTATTATTATTATTAATACTTACTATCAATTTTGTAAGGTGAAAACGTGAATTGAGCGCTTAATGTTTTGGGAGGAACCCATTTCGTTTCCAATTCGAATCTCTCTTTCTCCAACTCTTCGTATATCTATATAGATATATACACCTATGAGGAATTCCATAATTATTGTTCTATTGATTTTCCATCGTGCTCGTTTATCTGCAGCACATCTCAGAAGGCGCGCGCTTGCGCTCCTTTCCACGCGGTTTTCTAATTTACAGCACGAAATTGAATATAAATCGAATTCGTCGTTGAACGAGGCCGATTGATTCAGAAAGAGAGAGGATGTCGAAGAGGAAACGAAAAAAAATATGATTTATTGAATTTACCGATTCACCGAGAATATTTATGTAAAAGAAACATAAAGAAATAACAACAACAACAAAAAACGCACGGTTCCTAATTAGTATTATTTAGCTTTGAGTTCCTAATAACTAGTAGAGATATATTTATAGATAGGTTTTTTTTTTATTATTTTATTAAAGTTCTTACTATTCAGTTGCGTTCCAACTAAGTCATTTTATTTCTAGTCATATTTATTAAACATAGGTTTTATTTTATTTTATTTTATATACTTTTTCTTATAATATATAAATAACTCGACGAGGCATATTTATTATTATCATTATTATTATTAATTAATGGAAAGATTTGGCAGGGGATGGAAGGAGACTGCTTAGGGGTGGTGGTGGTATATCCACCCCCGCGGTCATCCGGCTCGGACTCCCCTCGGACGAAGGGAGAATGGGATAAACCTACACTCTCATATATATATTTTTTTTTCCCTTCCAAATCCACATTTCACCAAATTTACGACCTATATATAAAGGCGCGGCCCACGCTGCGCGCCGCGACGCCGGCCGACGCGACATCGCTCCCCGGGAAAACTTAATGAAATAGGCCGCCTTTCCAATTATTGAAGCGAAGGAAGAAAAAAAAAACCCTCCCCGTCGCCCCCGTGCACCCTCACAAATACATTTTTCTATATATATGGAACGAAAAACCCGACCCGACCATCCCCTCCTTCAAGAATGAGTTGTCCGTTTGTCATATGCGTTCTCTCTCTCCTTCATTTTCCTCCCTCCGCATTTCTCTGTTTCCTCCTTTTTCCTCGAATCGTCCTCGAATTAATTAAATTTCACGCGCAGGGCAGCTGAACAAACGAGGCTCCAGCGGGGAGGAAAAATTTATCGGGAATAATAATAATAATAACAACGTAGAAAGAAAAAAAAAAGAAAGAAAGAAATAAGTGTTATTCTTTAATCGCTCCCGTTATTGTGTAATATGCAGCTGCGCGTAATTTTTTTGGGTGAAAGGGGGAAACGCGCGTTTTTGGTCAAAATAGCAGGAAATAATGGGAAAAAAAAAGATCTACCGAAAAGGGGTAGATGACAGGGCGCCATTATGTAATAACACTTTTATTCGGTTGCGTATTATTATTATTTCTTTTTTCCAGTTTTCTGTAAAACCCTAACATACAACCCCTATGTATTTACAGATTATTGATTGCTTTGGGTCTTTCTTTCTTTCTTTCTTTTTTCTCCTATTTCTGCCGAAAAGCTGGAGGGATGACAATGGGTGTAGCACGTGGCCGGGTTTCGGGGGATGCGAAATGCACAAATCAAATAAACGTCGACGTCGATTTTAGGGTAAACGGGGTAAAATCGAGGATTAAGCCTCTCTCTCTCCCCTATTAATCCTTTTTTTTCACAAATATTAAGCGCGTCCCTTCCATTCTATCTGCCGTTTCCATTTGTTTGCTTTCTCTTTACAAACTATACAATCTGATTTTTTTTTTTTGTAAACTATATTTTTTATTATTCTGAGGGGGTTCCTCCGCAGAGTGGATTGCGCGAATGTTGCTGAAAGTCGTGTTGTTATATAATTAAGAATAATGAAAGAAGAAAAAAAAACGGAGGCACAAAATCAAAATTAGCTCTTAAGGGATGTTTAGTACTTATATATATATTATATTACACATAAGTTATAGAATGTTCTTTTTTTATTTTACGTAGAGAATTTCACATGAGATTATATCTATTTACATACATTGGAGACTCAGATATATAAAAAAAAATAATAACAAGAAATAAAAAAAAAATTAAAAAAATGCAAAAATAAATAAATAAATATACATAATAAATATATAACTATTTTCATATTATTCTGCGTTTATTAATAGAGACGCGGGTGGCGAATGGTTACCTATTTGAATAGATTGTGTAAGTGTTTCTGCTTTACGTTTCTGTCTATGTGTTATGTATGTGTAAGTTGTATCAATCTATGCAAACTGCCAGTTTCTCATATATATTATATATAATATATGTAACAAAATATGAAAAAAAAAAATAAATAAAGATTATATATATATTATACGGACATTGTACACATAAACCAAAACTTCCTCTTTTATATAACCTTTACAAAGAATTAAGATGATATGATGATGATATGAATGAGAAATGAACGCATATAATATACAAAACAGTTCGGAAGTTGGGTTTGTTTCCTTTTATTTTTTTCATTTTACATTTGTTGGAGATATTTTATATGAAGTTGAACAATTGTACCTCAGCCTCAGCGCAGCCGGGAACCACGTGGTTCTGCACCAAGAAAAAAAGAAACCATACACAACTAACCGCATTTTCTATACAGTTCTGTTTGTGTTTACTAATGAAGACGTTTGGATTGTACAAATCGGATCCGTTGCTTCCGGCCGCGCTGAACCAACTAAAAAGAAAAGAAAACTAATAATAGTAATAAAATTTATAATAAATGAATCTGTAAATACCACCGTCGGCGGTGGCGCAACCTCATCTATACCGAAACCCGCCCGGAAATGGACTCATTACCTAATCAAAATGACGACAATTGCTAAGATTATTAAATATTAAAGATGATAAAAAATAAATAAATATAACTAAAACAAAATTTTTTGGCACGGTTCGGAGGATCGGGGTTTACGCCACGGCTGTTTATTAAATTTGTAATAAATAAATGAATGAAACTCTGTAGTAAATCTTTTTACATTTTCATATATTCAGAAATGAGTATTATATATAAATATATATATTGAGATGATCGATGGAGCAAAAATTATATAAGTTAAATGAAACAGAGACATGATGCAAAATGGTAAACATGATAAATTGTATTTGTATTTGCTAAGCGTACTACGATTTAGTGGCAAATAATTATGTATTATTATTATTATTAATAGACGTAAGGAGAACAAAAAAAAAACTAAATAAAGAAATATTTGGAGAGAATTGTTGTTTGTTGTGTCCGATTTGTTACTTTTTTTTTCAGTGCTTTCTTTCAGTGATTGAAGTGTCTTCTTATCTGAGATGCTTACAAAACCGGAGTAATTGCATTGGCGCGTATATATACATACACACATGTATGAAATCAACAAAAAAAAAAGCAGTGATAATGAGTCGACATTCTCACGTAACTGTCAGGTAAGTGAGACGTTCTATTTTTATGGAAGCACATTGATTGAATTCAATAGGGATTTACTTTGAGTGATTGCGTAAGCGTCGCGGCGATCGCAGGGGTTCCAGTTGCGTAACCGCGAGTTCCGCGCGATTATCTGGTGAATAATCCGCGTATCTGCGAGACTCATTTATTATTACATTGTGTGCGTTCGTACGAATTGCATTATTGTTTCCATTATCTTTCCGTCTAGTGCAATGCATGCACGCTCGTAATAAATATAAGTAATCGATGAGTATTTTGAAATTGCGGATTCATTAGAAACGTTGCAAATAATTGTAATAAAATAATAAAGTTGAAATGAAACGAATGTAAATAAATAATAACGATAATAATGGAATGGGGCATAATAAAATGCTTAATTAATGTTTGTTTTCTGAGCAGTGCGACTTCATTGAACCTAATTGAAGTTCGTCAGCGATTCTCATTCCGACCTTAACATACGACCGAGTCGGTTATTTGATCTTTGGAATGAGAGAAAACAAAAAAATAAACTTTTTATTTGTTTTTTATCAAAACATAAATACATTAATTTATATACAAAACTAGTACCAATAACAACATTGTCATTTAACCGTAATTATTATTATTTATAGAATATATTTTTGCATAATTTCCATAATACTTGATTTTGGGTTTTCAAAGTCTTTATTTTAATTATT